TGAAGTATGTCAGAAAAAAGAAAAAACTAAATGAAAAGAATCTCTTCACCCTATTTAAGTAAGATGAGCTTTTGAATAATCAATACTGTTCTGCACATAAGATAATGCCTTATAATCTAGTATTTAGACAATTACCTCATAGTGAAACCAATGTAGTGGATATTTTAATAAATGATAATTATGAAGAAGAAGAATTGTCTAATACTTTAGCAACTAATACTTCAGTATCTAATACTTCAGCATCTAATAATACTTCAGCATCTAATACTTCAGTATCTAATACTTTGGTATCTAATACTTTAGCTATTTTAGAAACTGATGATAATAATGAGTTATACGATAATTTATCTGATATTTTAAATATTTATTATAGTCAAGATTATAATCAAATTGAGCTATATAATCGTAATCTAAATAATTCATTTTTAGAAGATTTTGAATCTAGGCTTAATTTAGAAGGTTCTATTATATCAGATGATTATTATTTAGAAGATGTCGAATCTAGACTTAATTTAGAAGGTTCTATTATATCTGATAATTACTATTTAGAAGATTCTACTATACCAGATAATTATTATTCTAAGAATTTAAAAACTTATAAAGCTCAATCTAAAATATACATGCCGACGAAATTATTTCGGGGTCTAAAACCCGAAATTAAAATTTGAAGATGAAATTGTTTTTGACCTATTTTACTTAAAAGATAAAATTTTTTAACACTCTTTTTGAATAGACGAAATTATAAGGAGTATAAATATATAAATTTTATTTGCTCTTTTTAATAAAAAATTTTAATTTGCTCTAATAGAGACGAAATAGGCCTTTTTTGAAAATCAATTTCGGTGGCATCTATAATCTAAAATTATTGAAGTAGATAATAATTTGATAGAATTGAATAATAATATAATAGATACACATAGTAATATAGTAAACTTACAAGAGATTATCATAATTAGTGATTCAGAAAGTTAGTCTTATACAACTCAAGAAAAACAAAAATGGCGAGAGTCTACTATAGAACTACAAATAACAAAATCAAATTCAACTCGCCCTACATTTGAATAACACAATAAAATTCATCAAGCTGCTATTTCAAAAATTATGAAATTATTAAAAGTACAATAGAAATAAAATATGGAACTAAACGAAATCGGGCATATGATCCTGGTAAATTTGTAAAAATTTGTGTTTCTAATATAGATAAAGCAAAAATGCATAGAAGATCAGTACCTTGTAAAATTATTCAAAAAAAGCCTAATTGAGATTCCTATCAAGTGGCTTGCAAGTTTGGAGTTCTTGACAACTAGTATCTAGCAAGCAAGCTTGAACTATTAGGTACACCTGATTATCCTGACCTTGATATTGTTCTACTAAATAAAACACTTTCATTGAGGCAAGCAAGTCTTAAACAAAATTATACACTTGCGGCCCAACCTTCAAGCTTAAAACAAGTTAATCAAGAAATTAATAAAAGTTTTAATTTATTAGAATATGACTTTATTTATATTTATTAGTACCAATTTTTTGTTTAATATTAATATTAATAGAATTTTTTATTAGCGATGATAGTTTTTTCATAAAAGAAACTACATCCAAAATACCAACAATAGTTATAATTGTCAAAAAACTAATTGTGAAACAAAAACATGCTCTTGCCGAAAAAATAAATTATTATATTCAAGGAAATGTGGCTGTGTTTTGCATAGCCAATACAAGAATCAACAACGATAGTTATTTGTGCTAAAATATTATTTCTTTTTTTTCAAAAATAAATAAGCAAAGAAATGCTCTTATTTTTCGTAGAATAGTATTATATTTAATTAATATTTAGTATAAAATTCAGCATTTAATACACCATTATACCAATGTTTTTATTCTATTTAGATAGCATGCGATATATTTTTTTAAAAGAATGCTTTTAACATTTGTATATTTGCGTTAATCAGTAAAATTCATACCAATTCAAAATACAACATATGTTATTCTTGGATTCACATATAACACATGTCAATCCTGGATTGACAGGAATCAATAAATGACGTATAACATATACATTTATACTTTTACCTAATTTTCATCATTGTTTCTTGTAGAAGTTTCTAAAATGACCAAACACTCTAATAACCGTAGTCACCTCAAATGAAGTTTTTATCATTATAAAAGTGATAATAATAATAATAATAATAGTAATAATAATAGTAGTAATAATAATGATGATAATAATAATAATAATAATAACAAAGTTGTCATTATTTCTGATGATGAGCTGGTTTGGAAAGAACTAGTTCAAGAAAATGTGGCTCCTAAAGAAGTGGCTTCTGAAAAAGTAATTCTAGAAGTTACAAAAGAAATAATA